CGCCACTCCCGCGCATAGGCGGGCGCCAGCATGGCGCGAAAGGGGTACACCCCAGAGGGCAACAGCATCGCCGCCTAGGAGATGGGTGAGCCTGCGCCGCCAGGAGTGGCGGGCGCTCTCGCTTGCGCTGAGAGCCCCCGCTTCGGCAGCCGAGCCGGGCCCCCCACCCCGCCCACCTGTTGCTGCCTGCCCCTGCGTGCGGGTGCGGTCGCAGTTGCCCAGAAGCAGAGAAGGCACAGGAGGAGCGCGTCTTCTCGTTCAGCCTGTTCCCACGGAAGAACACCCTGCTGGGGCCACGTTGCGGCGCTGCCAAGCGGCAGGCTGCGGCGGTGATGCATCCTGAGCTGCTCAGCTGGGGAGCCCTGGCCTGCCGCTGGCCCCATGCCCAGGTCCTAGGGATGGGGAAGCAGCCTGGAACGCTTCTGCAGCAGCAGGCCAGGGCTACCCAGCAGAAGGAGCAGAGGACACACGCACACACACCGCCTCCCTCCCGCTACCGCCCATACCCCACACTCCCGCCGGCAACATCCCAACCCTTTGTGCCGCCAGGTGACTGACAGGGCATCCTGGGCTTGAGCAGCCAGGCACCTGGCCACAAGGAGGCGGGATTAGGGCGTGCTGCGGCTCCGGGCCGGCCTGCCAGCCACCACTCCCAGCCACCCTACACCGACGCGTGTCAGCCCTGAGAAGGGGTTGGCCCATTCTGCTGCAAACCCAACCGCCCCTGCAGCACCTCCACCCCACCTGCTCTAGAAAAGCGCCCCCCTCTGCATCCTTCTCCCGCAGCTGCACCACGGTGGCGCCGCCATCCAGCGCCAGCTGCACCGCCTCTGCATGGAGCAACACAGCGCGGAAGGCGAGGGCCGGGAGGGAGGCGGCATGGTGAGCAGCAGCACGGTAAGGGCGAGCGCGGTGCTGGCAAACGGCGGCAGGCATCCTTCCGTGGCTCCGCCTGCTGCGCTTCTCCCCTCCCCACCACTACGCCGCCCTCGCCCCGCCTGCCACTCGCCTGCGTTGGTGCGCCCGTGCTGCGCATTGCAGGCAGGGTCTGTCACGGCATACACCCGAAGGTCGCATGTGTTGGGGATGCGGGTGCCCCGCGCCGCCGCCGCGAGCACCTGCTCCCGCGCCGCCTCTGCAGCCAGGCAGCCGGGTGGGCAAGCAGGCAGGCAGGACAACCAGAAGCATTGAGCGGCAGCAGCAACGGCGCTGTCGGGACGGCAGGAGGAGAGGGAGGTGCAGCAGCTGCTGCAGGGCTGGAGCTGTAGGCCCGCCCAGCGTCAGATGCAGGCGCAGCCCTGGCGAGATGCGATGCATGCTGCCTCGCCCACTCCCCACCACACCCAGCCGACAGCACGCAGGCTGACCGCAGCGCCACTGCCACGTCCTGCCTCCTCCCTCCACAGCAGACAACAGCGCCACCACTACGTTTCGTCGACAGCAGGCAGACCACCGCCTCAAGCACACCTGCGGTGTGGCTGCAGCTGGGCAGCTGGTCGGCGGCGCTCTGCTCCGCGGCGGCCGCCCCTGCGGCCGCCAGGTCTGTGGACCAGTCTGCGATTGCCCAGCCGTGGTTCATCGGCTTCTGCTAGGCGGGAGGGCAGGAGGGAGGGAGGGAGAACACACGGGCGGGAGGTAGGCAGGGAGGCAAGGGGAAGAGGGAAAGGGGAGAGAGCAGAGGAGGGAGGGAAGGGAGGCAGGGAGGCCAGGGGCAAGGGAGAGGGGAAGGGGAGGAAGCAGAGGAGGGAGGTGAGTACTCTGGCGGGTGAGCAAACGCAGGCATGTGCGGGCGGCTGGCACGCGGCGAGGCGTGCGTCAGGCTGCCAGCGCCTGCACTGGCAGCCGTCTCGTAGCTGTGCGACGTGCCGCCCGCCTGCCCGGCAGGGCCGTGCTGGGCAGGAAGGCTACACAACGCATAGCTATGAGACAGCTTCCATTGCACGTCGTGCGCCGCCAGACACGAAAAACAGCACTCAGCAGGCAGCGGCAGCCCAACACACGGGCCTTCAGCCTCCAGGGCAGTAGGGGAGCAAGCCCCCCCTGCGGGCCCCCCCCCCCCCCACAGGCCTGGCTGGCCCTCCCTCGCACCACCTTGCCTCTCCTTTCCTCCACCAGCCTGATCTGGCTTCCCCCCACCCACCACCCCGCCTCTCCTTTCCTCCCACCACCCTGCCTCTCCTCTCGTTCCCTCCCACCTGGCTGCCCTGCCCCAGCGGCAGGTCCCGGCTGCGCTCCAGCATGCGCCAAACATACCTGCAGCGGGGTGGGGGCAGGTGTGTGTGGGGGGTGGGGTGGGGGGTGGGGGTCAGAAAGCAGGCGGCGGCACAAGCGAAACAAGGAAGGGACAGAGAACGTAGAGCAACTGCATGCAACGCTGCCCGCGGCAAGGAAGGCGCTGTAAGTGCCAGAGAGAAGTGTAAGGGAGAGATCCCTCCACACCGTCCGCCTGGCAGCGGTGCGAGGCATGAAGCCCCTGGCTGGTTGCCTTGCACGCCGGAGAGGGGGCAGGCCTGGCTAGGCCTGGCCGGCACCGAGGTGCAAGCACACCAATACCACCAGGAGATCAATGCCCCGCATGCAAGAGCGTGGACGGGCAGATGCCTGGTCAGTGCATTCGATTGCTCCATAGGAGCATAATAGGAGCATAGCTCCTATACGGGTACAACCAGAAAGACAGCTCAGCGTTCCTGGCCTCGGTGCGAGGCAGACACCCCTTGCTGGTCGCCTTGCACGCCGGAGAGGGGGAAGGCCTGCCTAGGCCTGGCGCCGGGGTGCAAGCACACCAGGTCAAGGAAGTGCATGCCGGGGGTGTGCGGCCGCTGACGCTGACGCCTCGCATAGGCAACTGCACACACACACACACACACACACACACTGCCAGCTAATCTTGCAGCGCAGGCGATGGCGGCGGGTGGGTGTTCGGGCGTATAAGTGAATGTGTGTGTGGTAGTGGTGTGTGTGTGTGACGTGCGCTGCAAGATAGTTGGCAGGCTGACCACGCACGCACTGCACACCGCCTGCTGCACACGGTGTGTGTGCTCGCAGGCGCGAGTGTCCAGCGCACGCAAGAGGCAGCCTGAAGACAAGAAGGGGAAGCCCTTGCAGCAACCAAAATAGTTGACCAGCCGCCCACAGAAGAGGGCAGGTACGAGGATGGGCGGCATAGCGCGGCGGCTGCACAGCCGGCAGCCACAGCTGCCACAAAGGTCAGTCCGTGTGCGCCCGCCGCGGCGAGGCGCTGGCTGCCCGAGCTGACCGTCGCCAGACGAGCGGCAGCGGGGCGGCCCGGGTGCGCAAGCTGCCAGCGCTAGGCGAGCACATCACGAACAAGAGTGCAGGGCGGGCTGCCCCCCGCGCAACGCCAGCCCGGAGAGGCAGCCAGCCTGGAGAGATGCTGCGCTGTCGGGCGGAGCGCGGCACTGCTGTCAGGCCCGGGGACGGTGCGTCGGGGTCTGACAGCAGCTCGCACTCAAAGCCCACACGGCGCAAGCAGCTCTCCAGGCCGCCTGTCCTTAACCACATCCTACCTCCCTGCCTCTCATGGCCCCCACTCCTGCCTCCACTGCACACATTGACGCTACAAATAGCCGCCCCACGCCCTTGCTCCTCTCTCAGGATTCAACACACTGGCACCACAGCCGCCCAACGCCCTCCCACTCCGGCCAGCCCAGCACCGCCAGCCACGCAGCTGCAAAAAACAACGCCGCCCCCGGCCCCGCTCACTTCTTGGCCAGCCGCACGGCTGTCGCCACGTCAGCGCCCTTTGCCAGCTCAGCGGCAATGGCAGACGCCAGGCTGCACCCAGTGCCATGCGTGTTACCGGTGCTGCAGGCGGCGTGGCAGGGGGAGGAGGGGGGGCAAAGACGAGGTCAGGAGGCCTGCACCCTAGCTGCTGCCGTGCTCTCAACAGCCCACGTCCAAGCGCCAGCCTCCCAAACCCCACGGCATGCAGCACCGCCATGAATGAACACCAGCGGCGCCACCTCGGCGACGGCGCCAGCAGACCACCAGCCGCCACCTCAGCAGAGCACCAGGCGCCACCTCAGCACCAGCCGCCGCCTCAGCAGCACCAAGCGCCACCTCAGCACCACACACCTGATGTACGGCTCGCTCAGCTCGATCATGTTCTTGCCATCAAACAGCACGTCGGTGACGGTGCGCTGCGGCGCCAGCCCCTCCGGCCACGCATCCAGCTCGGGCAGGCCGCCCTGGCCCGCCTCGCTGATCAGGTGGCCTCCCTTGATGAGTACCCACTGTACGCATGCGTGGCAGGGGGCAGCAGCAGGGGAGGGTGGCGGGATGGGTGGGAGAGCATGCAGGGCCTAGGGTTCAACAGGAGGGAGGAAGATGGTGGGCCAGGGCAGCGGCAGGCGGTTCGTGCCGCTGCTCGCATGGCGTGCAGCACCTGCCCGCTGGCCTGCTGCGGGGCGGTCCTGTTGGGGCTCCAGGCCAGCAGGCCAGCAGTCCAGCAAGCCAGCCGCCCACACCACAAGCTGCCCCGTCCTGCCGCCGTTGCAGCAGCAGCCCCCAAAGAAGCAGCCCACAGGCAGCAGCACCACTCAACAACAGAGGCATGTGCAGAGCAGCCCGAGCACTACCCCACCCCAGCCCGCCCCTGCCTGCCTGCGGGCCATAGCGGTGGAGCTCCTCGGCCGCCGCCTTCATGCCATCCAGGTCGGCGATGCTCCTCCCGTCTGCAAGCCAGGCCAGGCAGGCAGCAAGCCAAGCCAAGAGGCCAGCGGCGGCTGGTTGAGTGGAGGTAGCAGTGCGGGATAGAGGGGGGCAGACACCAGGCCCGCTGCTCTTGCCGGCAGTCGGCAAGAGCTCACGCCTTGCCGCAAACCCTAGCAACGAACAGCCACACAGCCAGCAATTGACAGCTGCCGCTGCCCCGCCGAGCCACCCCTGCCACGCGCCTGCCCCACCCACCCACCTAGCAGCTTGGAGGCCTCTGGCACGTTGGGTGTCACGATTGTGGCCAGAGGGAACAGGTGGGCCCTGATCGCCTCCACCACGCCTGCAACACCATGGCAGCTCCTCACATCTTTCGGGCGGAGAAGGGAAGCAGGGCAGAGAAGCAAAGGCGGGAAAAGAGGCCAGGAGGGCCGACCCTACAGATAGCTCCAGAGCGCCAGCTCTCCCGCACTCGGCAGCGCCGCCGCCAGACGGGCGCTGCTTCTGCTCCCGCCGATCCCTCCCCCGCCACCATGGCCGGAACCGACAGCAGCGGCGGCCCCCTTCTGCCACTCCCCATGCGCCGCCTGCCCACCTGCCGTGGCCAGCGCATCGCCGCTTGTAGACACCAGCACAGGGTCAACCACCAGCTTCACAAGCCCCTGGGCCTGCAGCTCCTGCGCCACCGCCTCCACCACCTGCAGCCAAGAGGAGTGGGGCACGCGGGGTCAGGCTGGGCAGCGGCCGGCAGCTTGCCGCCAACCACAGCATGCGCAGCGCATGCGCTGCAAACACGCATCACGCCCACTGCAGCGCCAAGGCTCCGACCATCTCGCTGCCACCGGCCAGCCCACGGCAGCGAGTCACAACCAGCCCTGGCGCCCCACCTCTCGCGCGGGCAGCATGCCCAGCCTGCGCAGCATCGCACCCGCCACACAAGCCCCAGGCCCCACCCGCCCAGGCCCCAGCCAGCCAGCCAGCCCCAGCCCCAGCAGCCCCGCACCTCTGGCGTGGGAAGCATCCCAGTCTTCACCACATCCGCGCCGATGTCTCCCAGCACCGCCGCCATCTGGGCGCGGATGAACTCGACGGGCGCAACGTGCACAGCGGCCACGCCGCGCGTGTTCTGCAGGGGGGGTCCAGGGGATGGGGGGGTGGGGTGGGTGGGGTCT